TTTACTCAGTTGAAGAATTCATTTTAGAACACGAAAACATAATACGAAAACGAAACTCTAAAGCTTTCTTCTCGAAATCAAGCAAAACAACATCAGACATTTAAAAGAAATATGACTGGAACTCATCGTGATACAAGGTTTTCTTCAGATTTAAATTTGTCGCTTTACTGAGCCAGCATGTTTTTTGAACAGCGGTAAAAGCTTGGTTACCAAGCCGTAGCACAAGTGGTAAACATAGAAGATTTCGACGAGAAGAGCGGTGGAAAGTATCCATTTTTCGAGTCCTACCAGGAATCTGCAAGCCCAAATGGAGCTAAATCTATCTGTAAAAATATTCTTTTTTGTTTTTTTTAATTTGCGGCCTTCTATTTTATCCGAAATGGCTCTACTTTACGTGTTTTAAGAGATCGTAAACTGAAGAAAATTTTGAGAGGTCGGCACCAATGGAGGCATGAAAGACACTGGTTGTTTTAAAGCTCTAAAGTGAAGGTAAGTTAAGGTAATTTGATGAAATGAGAGTCGAAGTACAGACAGTAACCCGTGTTCTTTTAAGATCTTCTTTGCGGCCACAATAGTAAACCAAATTATCAATAAACCTTTGCTTCAGAGTTCAATGGCACATTATTTTTCTATGAGAGGTCGGCACCAAAATTGGATCTTCTTAAACAACCACAATACGAGATTTTGTTTTTGCTTCCATACATTTCTTTGTAACACCGGGAAGCCATTTCTTCAGTGATTTTTGATTGACGTGCGCTATTCGTGACGTAATATGTCTCTGATTTCTGGTAATGACTCGTTCAACGGTAATAGACACATTTTTAAGTTTAACGTGTTTTATGCTTTCATTCAGGGTGACTCTGTTTATTCCGTGTCTGAAGACAATCCTAGAATTTTCTCCAGTGTGAGCGGTATATTAAATAAACAAAACTTAGTTTTACCGAAGGCTAATAACGTCAACCGAGGAATTGAAATAAGCAAAACCGAAAGGTATTTTCATCGCTAAGGAAGGCGAGCTTAATTCTTTATTCATGTGGGCCGAGATGCAGAAACAAACGCCAGTTCTCGCGGGGGACCTCAATCTCAATAGGCCGGATACAAACAAAAGAGAAGGCAAAATATTGAAAGATTTGGAGGACGGCTTTGGTTTAGAATGTCTAATAACCAGCCCTACTCGAATATCAAACTTATCATCCACTGTGATCGCTGTTATACTCATGAATAGGCCTGATATTTTTACAAAGGGTGGGACCTATAATCCATACATCAGTGATCATTGCCTTATATACGGCCTAATAAATGAGAAAATTACTCATTACAAGCCAAAAACAATCTTGTGTTGAAATCTAAAAACCACTGATTGCGAGCAATTGACAGATGACCTTTCAAACGCTCTCTGGCATGTGGGTGAGATATTCACGGAAATCGACGATAGAATCGATTACTGGAACGGACTGATGAATTACATGATCAATTATCATGCACCAACTAGGAGAAAACGAGTGCGAGAAAACGATGTCCCGTACATGATCGTAGACTGGAAAAAAGCCATCAGAAAGAAGAGACTATTTGCGAAAACAAAACTAATGAAAACTTCAAACTGAAGAAGAAGTACATAAATCTGGCCACGAAAGAGCACAGGTAAGGAATTAAACAATTCTGGAAAACGAAATTGGAAAAGATCAGGGTAAACCCAAGAGACGTCTTCAACACTTTTCAGCCTTTCATTAGCAACAAAACTGCTAAGAATAATCCTACCAGTCTGAATGTAGATGGAAATGTTACGAAGAATGATGCGGTCGTTGTTGCTAATTGTTTTGCGGATTATTTTGCCAATGTAGCGCTAAATATCGGAGAACAACATGTGCATGATTTACTTGAGGAGGATCACCAATATTACACCAAGAAAACATCATGATGCAACCCTGGATTTCAGCTTCCCAGCAATTACTGAAACAGATGTGCCTGATGTTATTGAAATTATCAATCCTAGGAAATCCCCAGTTGGGACTCTCTTACTGTACCTATCCTCCTTAAGAAAACCGCTTCCGCTACTGCTCCATCTTTGGGGGCCATATTCCACCACTATTTTGCTGAGGGCTTCTGATCTACGAAGAGGAAGATGGGGGAATGGACACCTGTATTCAAAAAGGGAGACAAACAAGCCAAAGAAAATTATCGCCTGATTTCAGTACTCCCATTTCCAGAAAAGTTGAAAGAGTACAGGAACGGGCCCTTAAGATTCTGTATAACACACATTCAGTAGAGTACTCTATCTTCTTGCCCGTGCCAATCTACTTAGCCTAAAAAACAGGCGTTTACGAGATCTTGCAACCTTTATGTACAAAGTTAGATATGGTTTGGTACCTTAGTAATGTCGTTGACATTTTTAATGGTCAGTCATCCAAATATCGCTGAAGAAAAACGGATTTTCATTTACCCAGATTTAATAGTGTACATTACGGAGAAACATTCTTATAGGTACTTTGGACCATATATATGGTCTAGATTAGACAGAAAAATTAAGGACAAACCTACCTTACAATAATGAAAGGGAAATGTGTTTATTTCAAGTGCTAAAATATATTTACAATGGAATTTATAATTCTATATTTTTTACATATGTCGATAGCAATAAAATTTTAAATATAAATACATTACTAATATGTTTGCTAAGGAAAAAAAATAGAATATATTTTAAAAACTTTGATTGAAATAGGTAAGATTTCTCTAGGTTAAAATATAGCAATAAAGAATTAAAGGCTGATATTAAGAAATGTAAAAATTGGCAATAAAAATACCTGGGAGATGGACCCATCAACAACTTCAATATCAATGTCTTTGTTCTTAATGTGACACTGAACTTTCCCAATGTTCCTGGAGCCTCTTAAACAGACAAGGGGAGATCGCAAAAGCGCAAACGAAACGAGCACTTACCCAGGAGATGGCTGTGGAATATTGTACTTCTTTGTTTGAGGCAAAGAGCTCTGCCAATCTACAATGAGACTTAAGGAATTCTTTCCCCATTCCACTCGTTGTCGTAAAACCAGCGGGGTGAATGTTCCCTGTTTAACATCAAGTACTCTTCTAGAATACTGGCGCTTCTTCTCGTTCTCATGTATCCGATCGACCTGTTGGGGCTCCATTTTCCGGTACGAGTTGGCATTAGGGTGACAAACCCGCACGTCAAAGAGTGCGGCACGTTGGCGCCCCCAGAACCCACGGGCATGAATGTCTAACCTCGCATCAGGCGCACTATTGGTTCCTCTACTCAGCTGTTCTCCCGAAATGTCTTGGAGGATAGGCTCCATCCTGACATCGCTGCATACAGAACTCAAGAGTTCGGCCTCTAGGTCTCTCAGCTCGTTGTGTCGCTGATCAATAAACCCTCTCTGTTTACATACCACTGCATGATCTACCGTAGAGGTATACCCGCCCGCATACATAGGTGGAGGGGATATCATCAATCGGCCAGTTGTAGCGCAGTTTAATAGCGTCACGGAACTCTCTTTTGTTTAGGGTGAATCCTAGTTCTTGGAGTGGTAATACAGTTAACCAAACAAATGCTCCTTTCTCTGCGACCAGTTGTAGCGCGCGTCGTGTCTTCTGTGAAGCTTCCTGCTTGATTCGTGCATTCCTTTCTTTGAGTTCTTTCGTCCTTTCATTTCTTATGGCGTATTGCGCAGATTTAATTAGGGCCTCATCTGGTAGTTGGTGCAAGTGAGAGTCGATTTGCGTGACAAAAGGAGCCAAGATTTCGACTGAGGAGATGTACTCGCACTTAGCATCCTGACAAGGATTTCCTAGTCCTAAGCGTACTGGCAGGGCAAGAATGTCGCTCTCTCTGTGACTGACTTTGCGCTCTAGAATTGCTGTCAGGAGCACTTGCGATATTGCTTCCTAGCAAATCATGGATATCAGGCAGAGTCCGCAAAAAATAAGTCCACCGATGTTTCAAGCCGAAGGTGTACGGTGCATAGCAGGCTTGTGGCTGCGACAGAGCAAATTCCGCCAGATTTTACTACTTACAATCCTTTAAGTCCAACATACGGCGTATTAACCTTGCAGATCTCATAAGTGTTGTTTGTAGTTCTTAAATTTTTTCTAGAATTATTTTTGGCATTTTTGACACATCCAGCAGTCACATTACTCATTAGTCCTCTTCCGACCAAAAGATGCTCAAAAATTTAGTTTTGGAAACAAATTAGTATTCTGAAACTCATGACTTTTTCGGACTTCACCCAAGCCTCGTGATAAGGGTTAAGTACAAGCTGGGCTGCCACGAAGTGTCACTGCATCGTGAAACGTGACTTTTGGCACGTCTAGGACGTCACGCAAGTTTTTGGAATGTTAGCACTGAGCGAGGTCTAGGTTCGTTTGAAAGCAGGGAGAACTAAAACCCCGGCGTTTGACGCGCCGGGAACGGAATGAATGAGCTTATTGCAATTGTTTCCTCTTTTTAACCTGCAGTTTTTTCTCTCCTCTAGAACATCAAAGGCTAGACTACGGCAATTGCTTGAGTCAGATAAGTACTTTCTTAGTTTTTCTTTCGATTTTGTGATCTCTTCACCTCATTGCTAAACTTTGATTGCGTAGAAGCAGCAGTAAATATTTATTAATTTCATATCCATAACACTAAATCCAATTAATGAATCTACTATCCTTTTTACATTAGGTTTTTCATTTTACTTTTGGCTCAAGTTGTCAAACGCACATGGTTATGTTTTGTTTGTTTTTATTAACTCAGATTTGGTTATATGTTATAAATGAGATCCTCCCTCGTTTATCCTCGTTATAATTTGCGCTTTTAACGAATTTGCCAGATAAAGAAAGGCTCTACTTGGCTTGGCTCACTGCTGACACAAACTCACAGTTTTCTCTAAAGTTATAATGAACAATCTCCACAGTGGTCCTCCCTCAAAAAAGCTTTCTGAACAATCTGTCACTCCCAACAACAACAGTGCTTCCAAAGCCTGGCTATGTGTGTACCTGCAACAGCTTTGGGAGGAGGCATTCAAAATTAAAACTGATCTAATTTCATCTTTATTTCTGAACAAAACTCTTCTTCGAACCTCAATCTTTCACAATGAAAGTCAGAATTTACAATAAACATAAAAATCTACCCATTGACAACCTGCCAACATCATCTGACCCATGACCTGGTAGTAATAGCTGTGTGTTTTTTTTGAGTTTATAGAGTACGTTTACACATTTAAGATATTTCAGCTCCAAGATTGAATCACTGAGCGGGCAAGTGATTTGCAGCAGCCCTCAGCGATTGATTTCTGATGGATCAAACACTCATCGATCTGGATAGGTAGCCAAGTGAGGGCAGGAAGGGTTAGTGATGATTCCAGCAGAGAAAACATCACACTCTCTAATGTCAGCATATGCCGCTGCTGCCTCTTCCACAGTATTGATCCCGTACCTCATGGCTGCAGTCTGAATGGTCTTCTTCAGCTGCCTTGCTGCCAGTGATTCATAGTCAGCCCTTCGTGTGCAAACCTCCTTGAATTTGCTAGAAGAAAAGCTCTGTGCCCTCAAGTCATGCCACTTCTGAATGTCAGCCTGTTCTCGAGTTTCCTCTTCATACAAATTCGATTGGGCTTGAGTAACACATAGCCCTTCCATAAAATTCAATTGTTCCAAGGAAGGCTCAAATGAATACTGGCTAACAGGCTCTGGAAGATCAAATTCTGGTGGCTTTTCTGGTCCATCAATATTCATATGAATTTTGGGATCATTTGTAAATTTGTGTTGTTGTTGATCAGACAACACCGAACGACCAGCAACTTTGCCGAGTTTGCTATTGACAAATTCGAAATTTTCAATTTCTGGAATAATAGAATTAATTTGCACATCTTCAAAATGTTCAAATATGTCTTTTAGGGAATGAATAATTTGGAGTTCGCCAAATTTCTCTGGAATGGGGTTGTGCAGCGTAGACCGCACTCCATCTATCCTGCGTAGTTTTTTTTCTCTTCTCCACCTTTGAATGGTAGTTTCACCTGCCGTACCAGCACCTCTTTTACTTCCTAAGGATTTGTTCCGGCCGTTCCTAGTGGCACATGCCAGGTCTGTGGCAAACTTGTATTGGAAGACGTGCAGGAGGTACACTTCGTAAACACAATTTTCGATAGCGGTTAAGGAGATAAACCAGCCCTATTGCATGGTTGCACAGTCCTGATCGTGCCTCACAGTTGCAAGAGAGGTAATTAATATTTGGACTTCAGGAGCCCTTGAGATTTCAACCTAAAGGAAAATTTTAAAAGGGTTTGTTTATTATTCCTTAGTACGTAAAGCGAAGTTTAAGACTTCTTTCAGCTCAAACCAAAATACATGGTCAAATAAATACCTGCAACCTCCATGGCTCTCCGTTGTGATCTGTAGCTTGGAGCTCTTACGACGACACCTGTGTCTAGTGTTTTCACTGAAAGGGAAGGTGCGAATACGGGTGCGTGAAATCGTGAACAGGCTACGAGTCATGGTTTCTAGAGCTTCATTTCATCATTTTTGTAAATCGTCGGAGATTTCAAATAGCAAATCCGGGCATAATCAAAGGATAAGATCAATATAAAATCCTTGAAATAGTATTGTGGAAGGTAGTGAATAATGAAATAACATATTTACTTCAATCTCATCTGCAGTTTCCACATGGATGTTAATGAAAATGTCACGTACTAAAAGTAATTCCTCAAGAATTTCAGGGAACACACTTCAACCAGCTTAAACCGCTCTCCGCGAAAAAATATCAAACTCTTTCCCTTTCCGGTGAGATGTGTAAAGGACACCTCGTGGAAGGTAGCGACCGATGAAATAACCTATTTGCTTAAATCTCAACTACAATTTCCCGGGATAAATTTCCTCAGAGTCCCGGTCGATAATATTTTATATTTTGATAATATAAACCGAAAGCTCAGTTTTGAATAAGCTTTTGTCAGACCGTCTTACTCGACAGACCTTTATCCGATAAAGTTGATAGACTTTTCTTATGAAGGAGATATGATCATCCATGGGCTGAAACGAAAACAAAGGACCTCTAGGAATACTGAGAAAGCCATGACGCCATCACGGCCCAAGACAACAAGTCTCGACTTTAAATTGTGATTTCTCCGACACATTTCAACCGACGCTATTCAAACTGCTTTAGACGCAAAGCTCTTTCTGTGCTTTATCAAGTGAATTGGGTCCCAAGGGCCATAAATATCAGAGACAAAAATTTCGGGACTAAAATGCGGGGCTAGCCCAAGTTTTAAAATTGTACAGTGACGCCATGTTGCAAGACGTCATGGTATAGACAAAACTGTCTATGGCCCAGACAGTTGAATGGGATAAGATGTGGATTAATTGGACACGGAGCTAAAAAAAATCGAATGAATTAATTAATTAAAAAAACATAGTTGTTCATGAAACAAAGGATCAAAAATGCTCTATGAAAAGCTAGATTCAGAGCTATGTGAGAGTGTATTACAAGTCCCAACCTTTTTTTGTTGTTTGATAATCCTTTATCCAATTAAAAAACTTCTGAAAATCAACCCATTGCCTTTTTTCGTTTGCGAAATGTTTCTTTGCTTTTTGTTTTCATTAATTTTTGCAAAATCAACCTCCAAGTCACTTCAAGTCAACAACAAGTATCCAATTCAAAAGGTACCGGAATTTATTAGGTGTCTCCTTACATATATAAAATAAGCTTCTGATGATTATCAATGTAATTTACACCTTACAGACCTGCTCTCCTGAACGTTCTGCTAATATAACAATAAACAGCATATTTACTGGAACCAAATAAAAGCTTATGTAAGAGTGGAAGATGGCGGAACCCCACTAACTCGAACTTCAGTTAACTCGAAACATTTTTTATTTCCCTCAGGAGTCAGGCAGCGGGTTCTACTGTATTTCCAAATTGTAACACTGGTCGGCTAACTCGGTTTAATATTGAGACAAGGATGGTTCCCCCTCACACTCCTCCCATATAAGGGAAGAGTCCCAAGAACTATAATCATTATGTGCGATACCCTAACGAACTGATTTTTAGCTGTAGTTTTGAAGTTTATCTATTGTTTTTTTTCAGTTGCCTCACCTTTTCTAAGCGATTATAGTATTAATACAGAAAAACTCAAGCAGATAAATATCATCTCCTTTAACATTATAGTAAACGAACACCAGAGTAAATTAGGAGAGTCCCTCGAAGTTAGCGCTGTCTTCGGAAAGCAGCAATTTTGTCTCTGTTATAATTTTGATACCATTTGACACGTGTAGGGAAACGGTAACAAAAGTCTTACTATTAAAAAAAACGGCTATGAACAACCACGATGTCGATTCTAATTTCTAACGAGAGGCGATCAAGTCAAACTCACTCAGTTTAGGTATTTTCATCATCCACCAAAAGTAACATCATTAAGAATTTTCATCGAGAATTTTACTTTGCGTAGCCTTTCGGTGAATAAATATGGTGTTTCAGCCTAAATCGTCTTCCTTGATTATCCTAACGTAATTTTTTAGTTATTTAAACCTTACTATTTCGTGTAAAAATTCCTTGTTTAGTTGTTGTAGTTTTGTCTTTGTTGTTGTTGCTGTTTTCGCTGTTAATGAAATATAATGTAAACTAAGTCGTGATTGTGCTCTCGAGACGAACAATCAACTCGTCAAAATTTGCTCTTGCGCTAGGATTTGAATTCCAACAATCTCTCATGGCCTGGTACCTAAAAGAAAAAAAATGGTTATATAAAGCTGCATTTAGTCAAGAGCTCATAATTTTTTAATTTTGGTATTTTGGAAATTTCGTTGTCATTCCATAACCATTACGAAATCAATAACTATATCATACCCTGAAGGGATGAGATAAAAATTTCATCATTTGTGTGCTTTGGCTAAATTTGTTAAATATGTACAGCATACTAGGAAAACTGAAGGCTTAGTTCAATCTTATTCAAGCACTACCCAGATCGTTTTCTAAATAGCTTATTACCTCTTCTCATTTTCTCTACCACAACTGGTACAATTAAAGAGTACAGACAACGCAGCCGCGTTATCGTGTCACGCGATGTGTTTATCAGCTTTCAAACATGAATGACTTGGAAATTTTGATGCCGATTTTATGGTTGAAAACAAATCAACAGTGGTGATAGGCTGCTGAGATTAGTTTGATTTGATTTTTCGACTCTTAATGGAATGCTCTCATTGCATGCAACTGTAGAACCGTATCTGGTTTATGTTTATATAGGATTAACACAAGAAGTGAATCCGCCGTAAGGGTACCTTTTGAGCCTCGTTTTGGGATGGGAGAGTTTGAAACCGAGCCTCTCTTTGCTCTCTCCTTTCCTGCGCTTTCTTGAGTCTGTGAATAATAATGTCGATGAGTATGCCAAGAACCAAGAGGACACCTAACACGGCCAAGAAAATAATCCACCTAGCAAAAGCTGTAATAAAAAATGTGTGATATCAGAATTAAAGCCACACATGACATTGTCGACCTTTTTCAAAGGCTGTATATCAGTATTAAAGGATGGCCATAGGTGAGACGTAAGGCGTAAGATTGCGGGTACAATTCTTTATGCTGTAAAATGCAAGTAGCAACACAGTTTTGTTAAAACTTGTTAAA